TTCGTGGCCACATAAGGGGGCTCCACCGAAGGTCCCAGTGGCGCCGCCCGCATGCGTCCGCCACCGCCCAGCGCAGCCCTTGCTCCCCGCGTACAGCGTTTCGTGGCCCCATAGGAGCTCCACCGAAGGTCCCAGTGGCACCGCCCGCATGCGTCCGCCACCACCCAGTACAGCCATTGCTCCCTTCGTTTCACCCACCCAGTACAGCGTTTCGTGGCCCCATAAGGGGGTCCCACCGAAGGTCCCAGTGGCACCGCCCGCATGCGTCCGCCACCACGCAGCACAGCCCTTGCTCCCTGCGTTTCACCCACCCAGTACAGAGTTTCGTGGCCCCATAGGGAGCTTCACGGAAGGTCGCCGCCCGCATGCGTCCGCCACCGCCCAACACGGCCCTTGCTCCCTGCGTTTCACCTACCCAGTACAGCGTTTCGTGGCCCCATAGGGAGCGCCACCGAAGAAGGTATTCACACTTGCGGTGCTCACAATTGCATATTTTTGGGTCCTTCGCCATGCTAATTTTTTCCCAACCATCCTGCGGTGTTGGGTCCTCGTTTTGAAGAGCCGGTCCCCGCGTTCCTTTCCTCTTCTCCTCTCTTCCTCCTCCCCCTCCTCCCCTCCCTCCTCCTTCTTCCATGCGCTTCACCCACCCAGCACAGCGTTTCGTGGCCCCATAAGAGCTCCACCGAAGCCTCCAATGGGACCGCCCGCGTGCGTCCGCAACCACCCAGCACAGCCCATGCTCCCTGCGTTTCATCCACCCAGTGCAGCGTTTCGTGGCCCCATCAGGAGCTCCACCGGAGGTCCCAGTGGCACCGCCCGCATGCGTCCGCCACCAACCAGCACAGCCCTTGCTCCCTGCGTTTCGCCCGCCCAATACAGCGTTTCGTGGCCCCATCAGGAGCTCCACCGAAGGTCCCAGTGGCACCGCCCACATGCGTCCGCTACCACCCAGCACAGCCCTTGCTCCTTGCGTTTCACCCACCCAGTACAGCGTTTCGTGGCTCCATAGGGAGCTCCACCGGAGGTCCCAGGGGCACCGCCCGCATGCGTCCGCCGCCACCCAGCATAGCCCTTGCTCCCTGCGTTTCACCCACCCAGTACAGCGTTTCGTGGCCCCATAAAATAAGGGGGCTCCGCCGAAGGTCCCAGTGGCACCGCCCGCATGCGTCCGCCACCACCCAGCACAGCCCTTGCTCCCTGCGTTTCACCCACCTAGTGCAGCGTTTCGTGGCCCCATAGGGAGCTCCACCGAAGGTCCCAGTGGCACCGCCCGCATGCGTCCGCCACCAACCAGCACAGCCCTTGTTCCAAGAGTTTTACCCGCCCGGTATAGCGTTTCGTGGCCCCATAGGGAACTCAACCGAAGTTCCCAGTGGCACCGCCCGCATGCGTCCGCCACCACCCAGCACAGCCCTCGCTCCCTGCGTTTCCCCCGCCCAGTACAGCGTTTCGTGGCCCCATCAGGAGCTCCACCGGAGGTCCCAGTGGCACCGCCCGCATGCGTCCGCCACCAACCAGCACAGCCCTTGCTCCCTGCGTTTCGCCCGCCCATCACAGCGTTTCGTAGCCCCATAGGGAGCTCCACCGAAGGTCCTATTGGCAAAGTCCGTATGCGTTTCTTCCACCCAGCAAAATGTTTTGTGGCTCATGGGGAGCTCCACCGAAGGTCCCACTGGTACCGCCCGCATGCGTCAGCCACCACCCAGTTCAACGTTTCGTGGCCC